ACTTATAATTAATGTAGCCAGGCACTAAAAAATATGCTGTCTTCACTAAGTTACTGTCCTTGAAATCATGTTTGTACAATAAGCTGTGTAATAGAGAGTGATTTCATTGTTTGCAATACAAATTATGGAATACTTAGTGGTAGTAAAAACATTGGACTGGAAACTGCATCCTTTTCTGGGTTCTGCCCCTAACAAGCTTGGAAACAGGAATGTCACTGAATTTATCTATAATCCCATCAATAAAAAGCAGAAGTTGGATTAAATTTTCTATAAAGAATTTTTCAAGTCTTGAAGTGTATAGATTCTTTAACTCTTTAGTCTCACCCAACAGTCAGCCTCACATCTTCTATACATAGGCCATAGGATAACTGCGTGCTGATATATGCTGGTGAATTTTTTTCTTTCTTTCTAAATCTGCTTCTTAGTTGTTGGTATATTCTCTGAGAGATTTTGTAGTTGATCTTGGTGATACTTCTTTCTTTTAGAATCTCAGTTCATCGGTCTGTCTTGTTTGTACGAAGCAGTTGCATTGTTTTGTACTTCTCTGGCAATTTTCTTGTAATACACAAATAATTACTACATTAGGATATACTCATGGAAAACATCAGGTACATTTTAAGGAAACTTTCAAGAATATTCTTTTCAAATACTGAGAGTGTGCATTATATATACATGTATGGAAATCAGATGCAAATCATTTGTTTGGAAATCCTGTTGTACTTAGTGGATAGGAAATAAATATTATTTGATTGAAATGTCTCCTTTCCCTGCTGTTTCGTCTATAAAGCATTAAAAACCATGAAAACTAGTGAATCAACTCTATTTGTTTACGTATTTATATATCTATATCTATATGCTTTTGTATTTATATATTGAAATATTATAACATAAGCACTAAAGCAGAAATTGGAATGGGATGAAGTTAAAATACATGTTATTTCAGGGATAATTATGTTTATTAATTAAATAGATTTTGCTCTCACTTAAGATTGCTCTTCATAATAATACTTTAGCAATTAATATAGTTAAATATGCTTTATTATTTTTAAATATCTTTCTTAAATACTTTATAATATAGCAATCCAAAGGTCTGATTCTAAATTCATATTATTTTAATACTAATTTTGATGACTGTTGTAGATGAAAAAGTTATGTAAATTCAAATTTAAGAAGTGTGTCATTGGCTATTGGTTATTGAACCATCCTGCTAATTTTTTAAAACCCATCCACCAATTTTAGATGTCTGTCTTCATATTCTTGATGCTTCGTTTTTAAAATAACTTAGTATTTGCAATGGCCTTATGCTGTCATTAACCAGCATTTCAAGGTACAACGTGTGCTTCAGATGAAGCTTATCACAATGGGTGTAAAACCACATTTTAAATAGCTTCACTGATAATTGTAAATTTGCTTTTGCAGATTTCTTTTTAGACTTGATTAGTTCATAATTCCTAATGTGCCTAATGAAGAGCTCATATCAGGCATAGAAGTGATATTCCCATGGTGAATACAATCCATGGTGTCATTTAGCAATAGTTTTTGAAGCCACTTGTCATTTTCACTATTTAGTTTAATCGAAACTAGATATTATAACTTGCAAACTCATCTGAGTACAAATCACAGTACACTGACAGCAAATTAATGAGGTATCACTTGACCATTCCCTGTTGTGGCTCATTCTCTTTCCATAGGATGCCTTACATACATGCCCGTCATCTACTTATGGACGTAGTGAGAGTGCCAGTATCATTCCACGTATGATCTGTTAGCAAAGCTTCATTTGCTTCTTATATTTAGATAAGAATTCTATATAAAAATAAAGGTTCCATTATTTTTCTTCCTACACCCAAATAGATGCCCCCCACGCACCCACACACTTTGTAAACTACTGCTCTAAGCTAATTATCTTGCTTCTGCTCAAGCCTCTCTCTTTATGATGCACATATGGTAATTTCTGGTAATCCTACTATCAATTTACTCTAGAGCAGTGGTGGGCATGCTAGGGCCAAATCCTGTCAGCTGCCTATTCTTGTGAACAAAGATTTGTTAGAACATACCACTCTCACTCATTTATCTATTGTCTCTGGGAGCTTTTGCACAAGAGCAGAGTTGAGTAGTTGTCGTACTGACCATATGGCTTGCAAAGCCTAAAATGCTTACTAACTGCCCCTTACGGAAAAAGTTTCCTGACCTCTGGTTTAAACTAACTCTTACACCTTTGTACTAAAGTGCTGTACAAGAATGTTCATAGCAGTATTACTTACAATAGTGACAAATTGGAAAAAGAAAAAAAATTCAAGATCAAGGAAAAAATTGAAGATTGTGAAATATTCTTACAAGGGGCTGCTACATAGCAGTAAAAATGAATAGAATGGGGGGCCGGCCCGGTGGCACAGCGGTTAAGTGCACACGTTCCGCTTCTCGGCGGCCCCGGGGTTTGTCAGTTCGGATCCCAGGTGCCAACATGGCACCGCTTGGCACGCCATGCTGTGGTAGGCATCCCACATATAAAGTAGAGGAAGATGGGCACAGATGTTAGCTCAGGGCCAGGCTTCCTCAGCAAAAAGAGGAGGACTGACAGTAATTAGCGCAGGGTTAATCTTCCTCGGGGGAGAAAAAATGAATAGAAGGACTACATGTATTTCCATGAATAGCTCTCAAGAAGTAACTAAAAAAGCCAAGCGTCAGAAAAATATGCACAGTGTGGTACCATTTCTATAAATGTTAAAAATGAGACACAGAACACATATATAGTAAATGTCTAAGTATGTGTATGGGAATCATAAACATTAAATTCAAGATAATTGTTTCCTCAGAGAGTAGGGGAATGTGATTAAGGAGAGATAAACAGGAGAGGGAAGTCTTCAGTGATATTTGTGACAACATTTCTGCTTGTGATGGTTACAAGGTGTTTGTAATATTCTTTATATGCTCTTATATATCTAAAGACAAAATAAAATAATACACAAATGAAAGCCACAGTCCTTTTCTTGAAGATTTGCAAGCTAGTTGGGAGGCAGAGGATCAAATGTATAATTGCAGTATATGATCTTGCAGTAATGGCTTTATGAGTGATAAAGACACAGAGAGAGCTGACTGTGTATTTTCCAGGTGTTCAAAGGACTGGGAGTGTGGTTGTGAGTAGAGTTCTTGCTCCAGGCAGGTAGGGAACTTGCTGTGTTTGAGGAATGGCAAGCAGTGGGGATTGTTAAAATTGTCGAGAGTGTAACATGACTGTGCCTGCTGGGGGTGGGAGAAAAAGGCCAAGATCACACTGGATTGGTTGGTAGGGCACATTTGGGACACTGTGAATGCTCAGAAACAAATGATATTCTGAAAAACAATTTTTAAAAGCGATCACCTGAAACTTACTCTCTATGTGGTAGGTCTGTAGGAAATGATTGTCGTAGCAATAGCTTCTGAGACAGATAAAACATATCATAATTTTACAGAAATGGAAAAATTGAATTTGAAGTTTTATAAAAAGTTGTAAAATAAATTCAGTTTGCCTGGAAAAGTAAATGTCATATGTAGTCACACTTGGCTTGGATTCGAGGGAACCACAGTTGGAAAGAAACACTTGCGCAAAAACTTATATACAAAGACTCATCTCTTAATCTAGTTTTTTTTTAATTGAATTCCATTTCTGTGGAATGAAACATTTAAAACAATGACTAAATTGCAGAGAGTGAGGGTGGATTTGATTATGTAGTTTTCTCCCGAGGATTAGGAGGATAGCCCAGAGACACTGTTCCTTTCTTGTTCGTTTGCCATTACCTATGGCTGATACTTATTATCTTCTTCCATTTAATTTTTGAGAGATCACTGGGGATCAATTATTTTCGTTTACTTGATTAGAATTTGTACAAATGGTTTGATATTTTCATAAGTATATGGTATTTTTAATCTGTCCTTTTTTACACACGCAATTTTAGTTGAGTTCAATTGCTAATTGCTGAAGCATTTATTTTCAAACGTTTGATAATTGTGGCTTTGTGGCCAAAGTACAGTTTCTGAATTTCCAATCTCAGGTGTGTCATTGAATATTTTAATTATTTATCATGTGAGTGTTTGCACAAACATGCATTGACAAAACATTTCACATCTGATAGATTGTTCAGTATTCACAGTTGTGGATTTGTATATCTCGTCTAAAATGTACACATTCTCTTATCCTAAGAAAGACAGAGATAGAGAGAGAAAGGAAGGTAGGAGGGAGAGGGACGGGGGAATGAGAATCAGAGGGAGAGAGATTCAGCTAATAAAGTATGGGAGAAAGACAGTAGAGGAATTGACCACTAACTGGTCTGTGTGAATATTTAAAACTACATTTTAAGCTAAGGAAGTTTATTTGCAAAATATTTGCGTTTTAAGTATTCTAAGAACTTAAAGTATTTTTATTACAAGTAATTTCATTAAATAAACTTTATTAAAATCATCATCCTCTAATGCATTCCTGCTAACAATATGGTATCTTAACATATTTTAGGATTAAAAAAAATATGATACTCTACAGTTTCTTTGGCAACAGGAGATGATGACTCATACAGAGCAGAGCTGACAGCGTGTTTGATAGTTGTTTCTTTTTCTTTTTTTGCTACCGAGATGGTTGCTTGTTCATTCTTTCTTGAGATAAATGACTTAAAACAATCCACTCAAACCCTGTGCCAGCCTGCCTCCTCTCTGAGTGGTTCTAAACCATGGGATGCAGTCAAGCAGTTTGACTGAGATCTTGTTCAACCGAAAGAGAACAGATAACGTGAATGTATTCTTTCATTTTCATAACAATATGTAGCTAATTGTGTAAATACACATGCTTTTCCCCATTGTAAGTGGCAACATTTATTTATAAGATTAAGGAATGATCTTTCTAATTCAAAATTTACTTCTCTCAGTATAGCTTTCTTTTTTAAACTATTTATTAGTTTTATTGGAATTTTATAGTGTTCTTGTATCCAAAAAATTTATTATTTTCAAAAGAATCCTATTTTATATTTCAGGAATATACAATAGATGTTTTCTTTCGACAAAAATGGAAAGATGAACGATTAAAATTTAAAGGTCCTATGAACATCCTTCGACTTAACAATTTAATGGCTAGCAAAATCTGGACTCCAGATACCTTCTTTCACAATGGGAAGAAATCGGTAGCTCATAATATGACAATGCCAAATAAGCTTCTTCGAATCCAGGATGATGGGACTCTGCTGTACACAATGAGGTATGTTTTTAGGTTTGGTTTGTGGCATTTAAATGCTGAGAAATCCCTTATTAAAAAACTGGCCAACTTAGTTGAAGTATTAGCATAAATTGAACATTTTCATAACAGGTTAGAAGTACCATAATATGCTTTGTAAATGCTTGGATATTAAAAAAAGCAAAAATAAAATAGTGTTTATGAGTTTGACTCTCATCTTAGTGTGTTAAAACTTAAAAATTGCCTTAACTATTAAGAATTGATCTTTTCGTCGATTTACTTTTCACGCTACATTTTAATTAAGCACAGTTTAATAGCGTGACTTAAAATTTTCTTTATACCAGCATGTAAGTTTATTTTTAATGTCTCATAAGATTTTCCATCAAAAATTTAAGTGATTTTTAAGCAAGCTTTTACTTAATTTAGTATTTGACCCTCCTTATGAAGCAACCCTAAAGAAAACGATATTTTTAAAATTCAGAGTGATAGTTTTTATTTAATAAGGCTCACAAGTATTGGATACCATAAGCATATGTATTAGATTGAATCATATGAAGTTGCCATTTTGTAAATCAAAAAGTGTCATGTAGCATTTCATATGATTCAACCTTAAAAAATTATCTAAAGGAATATACAGGTATGGACTCTAATAACAACTATTCTAACTTTTCCCATGAATTAGTCTTTTAAAATAAGTTATTTGTTTTATGTAACAAAGAAAACAAACACAAATCTAATAAAATGATGTAGAATCTAAAATTAGCATGTTTAATAAAGACTTTAAAGCATGGATAACCATCAGCCTTATATACAGACCGGTGTTTGTTCCAGGCATTTGATGTATTGTTATTTCATATGAAATGTTGTGGTAGATTTTAATTGTGAAACATTTGAGAAGGGTCAATAATACAGTCTTGGTCTTTAAAGAAAAATCTCTTGAGGACTCATTACTGAATGACCATTGCCTACAATGGAAGTCTAAGCTGTTCCTTCTGCCTCTCCCTCTGAATCTTGCCATACAGATGCAGTACCCCTGTTGATTTTACACCTTGATCATTCCTGTGGATTGAGACAATGATTGGAAATTTTGAGTTTAAACAAAATATAGGCAGAGAATACACAAAGTGGTAGAAAATATTGGCTGCGGTTCAGCTTAAATACTCTTAGAAGTATATAAGCTGTAATTAAACTGTTGGCCACATTTGCTTTGCTCATCATAAGAGGTTCTTCTCTAAATTCAATTTAGTACCTGTTTTATCCACTTTGCCTTTGTGTGAAATGGAATCATTTATAACTTTATAACAAGTTTTCTATGATTATCCTTTATTGTGATCATGTAGATACAGAAAATGTATTTATTTAGCATTCATACCTTGTGTCCATAATATAGCCAACAGTCTAAACGCAGCAAGATATTTCCAGGAGATACATGTACATATGTATCCATATCTACTTCTATATTTATATCCATGTATCTATATACAGTACATAATGCTTATTCATAATTTACCTGTTTTTGAAGGGAGCTTCTGTGAGCCAATATTGAATTCTCATATCAATTTTGCTAGATAGTAGATGACGTGATGGGGAAGGTGACGTTCTTTTAACAATGGAGATTTTTTTCATTTTTTCTCTAAGATTTTAAATGTTAATAGTGAGATTAATGGGAAAATAGCCCTCCAAAGATGCATGTATAACTTCTTTACTTAACAAACCAGAGTACAAAATGGTTACATAAAATATATTCATAAATAAATATTGTTACTTGAGCTCAGACTTTTTATATGCTCATGTCTTCGGAAGGATGATCTAAATGTGAAAGAATAAAAATGTATTTAAGTGTGGATTAGCCTAATACGATGCTGTAAAGAAGGTCCCTCCTCATCATTAATTCTGTTGACAACAGTAAGGAGTGATTTATCTTGACTTGCCAATTTACTTAAACAAAGAGTGGAATTTTGACTTTTAGGCTTACAGTTCAAGCTGAATGTCCCATGCACTTGGAGGATTTTCCAATGGATGCTCATTCATGTCCTCTGAAATTTGGAAGCTGTAAGTATGGGGATGAAGATACATGTTTTGGGTCAATAATATCAGGGATAGTCAGCAACACAGCTGAATTATATAGTTTCTCTTCCATATTATGGAATGCTTAATGCTTGCCCAATAAGATACAGAAGTAAAAGACATGCTTATTTCTCTCAAGGAACTACTTGGCTGGCCCTGTTGTAATCACAAATATCACTATATTGCAATCGTGATGTTTAAATTATCACTTACTTTACTGCTAATAAAGAACATTATGTGTTTTTGTACATGTGTAAAACTAGGCCAGGAGCTCCTTGAAGGTCATGAATATGTCATTTACCTTCTTTTCCAAGTGCTGGCACATTGAAAATGCAAAATAATTGTTTCATTTTTGTTGACTAAGAATGAATTGTAAAGGATAGATTCTATTGTTTATTAAAGTAGCAATCACCCTGTTGCAAATGGCAGGCACAGAAGCAGGCACAGAATTATCATTCTACTTTCTAACTAACGGAAAGGATTTTTTTTCCTAAAATAAATTTGAAGGAGATGACGTAGCTGATTGCTACATGCAGGCACTTTTTGTATACATAGAATATTTCAGAAAAGGCTCTGCGCATTTGGCCATTCTTTAGGTCACTGAGGTTACATCTTGTATGTCAAGCAGAAGCTTTCACTCTCCCGGAATAATTGAAAAGAAGGAAGGTCAAATCATCTCCCTAGGCCCACAAGGCCTTCAGGGCAGGTTCAGGATAAATTCATGGGCACAGCCAAGCAGCTTCTCTCTTGTGTGAGTGTGTTCCATCGCCTGACCTTTTCAGAAACCTCACTCTCTCTGGCACTCCCGTCTTTGTCCATTCTGGGCATCTTTTGACTTTTCATTCTCTTGAACAGAAATGCAGTTCTCCCAACTGATTGAAAATATGTAGCACTGAATAGTGTGCCTTCTCCCTGCAGACTGTATCAAGTGAAAGAAAAGGGAAAAATGATGACTAATATGAATGCAAAACTCTCTAATTATTTTCATGACCGTAGTTTTGTGGAATAAGAAGTTCAACTCTGTTCCATTCATTCTTACAAAAGGTGTCAGCTCTCAATTTTCTTTGAGAATCTTTTCTTTGTTTAACTACAAAGCCTTCTTTTATTGTCATGGAAACCATCACTGCAATACTGGCATTTCTTCCAAAATTATTTAAGATAGTCAATCATGTTATACAACATAAACATGATACTGAGAAAACTACAGCAGATGCAGCAGAGAAAAACTCATTTGCATTGCATAAGTGACATTAAAGGGAACATTGAGAAGCCTTTATACCAAAGAAGGGATTTATTCAAGCTGCTGTGATGGTGTAAGAAGGAAAGACACTTTTCACTGGACAAGTGAGTGCCATTAAGACACCAAACATAAATGATGTGATTTCTCAATTCTGATTATGAAATAAATACACCTGAAAATAACTTAAATAAAATTTAAAAATCCCTTATAGTGTATTCACAGAGTAGTGGAATATTGCATGCTTGACAATATGGTTTCTATATCTAGAAGTGATTTGAGCAACACACAAAGTTTGTTGTTAGGCATTCTCTGTTTAAGTAATTGTTTTTTATTTGTTTTATTCATGTTTATTTTCTGACACATTGAATTAACAATTTGTATATCCTTTTGTTTATCCTTGCCAATAGTAGGTGCTTGATGCGTAAGTGTTACAAGTATGGACACCAGCATGGAGTATTACATACCTAAACCTAAACTGTAAAATGTTGCCACAACATATTTTGGCAGTAGCAGCCATATTTTTGTCTTCTAGTCATTTATTTCTCTCTCGCTTAAAAGCCGTCTTGTCTGCCCCCAAGTGATGGAATTTTTGGAACTTTATCGTTGTCCTCAAATAAAAGAAACATCTTTTCTATAAATTTACAGTTCTGAATTTGATTTTGTTTTGTTTTATTCCTATTGCCTCACATCTTTATATATTTCCTTGCTGTTTGCCTTATTTAAAACTTCCTGAATGGGAGTCTAGGAATATTGTGTACATTAGCCCCAAAGAAATTGCAAATTATATTTTTGGATAAAAATTCATGATTAGAAATGATTTGGGGATTTTTGTTGGTTACCAAATATTAAGAATCAGTCATTATGCATTTGATGTTTAATGCAGAATATGACTCAAAATGGGTTACTTAACTGAATTAAATAAAATTATTTAATGAAAACCTAATTTAGAGATGGAATTTATAATGCATTTGTAAAACAAACCTTCTCTCCTTTTGTACTTTACTGGGAAGCTTTGCAGTGGCCTCCTGGTTTGGATGTTTGCTAGTGTACCAGAGAGTGCCTCCAATCTGCCTTGCATCCTTTCTGCCATGTCTTCTCTCAACAGACCCAAAATCTGAAAAACATTTCCTAACCAATGGAATGCAACGATGGCTTTTTCAAAAAGACAGGGGGAAAAGATCCATCATTTTCTTTAACATATTATTGGACTCCTATCCAGATTTCCATCTTCTATAACAGTAAATAACATAAATAAAATATTATGAGTTTATTGATTAGTCTGGCAAGAATGAATGGAGAACTTTCTCTCTGTGTGAGGCACTGTACCACATGAGAAAAGTGTAGATATGAAGAAGACAGAATCCCTGCCCATCAGTGTTTCACCACTTTCTTTAAAATGTCACTGCATTTGTAGGCTTTCATTTTCCCTTATTTATGTGTAAAAGTAAACTTCAAAATTCAAAAGTTGATTATTATACTTACTTAAACAAAAACTTCATAATTTATTAAGATTCACAACTACTCAGTATTGTGAGGCCTTCTGCTATAAAGTGGCACATGTGATGTGTCTTTTTTGATTTATTAAGTTCTGCACCATTTGAAATTTTATTGAAGAGAAAGCCATGATATATATTCATGGAGAAAACAAAATAAGCCGCTGGATGACCTGCAAATGGATTGCTGGTTATCCACATTACTAATGTTACTTATTAATCATAACAGCAGAATCATCAATGATTAATTGAAATTAATTAATAACAATTTAAACCGTAGAGTAGCTGGAATTCACTCAAATGTAAACTATGTGAATATGTCTGCTAGTAATATATATACACATACATATATGAAGATATACATACATATATACTTTTTTAGAATCATTTCAAAAATTGTTTCACATAATATAATTTACTTGTGGATGTAAGTGAACACATGTCAATAAAAACAGTATTTCACTGATGAACATTTGGTAGCAACACTCAGAAAACCAGACATCATAGTATGCCATTAAAACACCACACAATGAATAAGACGCAAACTCATAAACATTCACTTTATTGTTACTGATGACTGAGTGGGAATTTATTTGTGATCTAAGACTTCAGATCAAGGTAAGAACCAGGACCACCCAAGCACAACAGTAGTAAACTAGAAAACTTCTAGATGGCAGGGACATGAGATGAGTTTTCCAGTGTCCTGGAGAGCTAGAGGGAGAGGTATTACCAGAGACACCTGGGCATTTCTCTCCCTCAATTGACAATGTGACTGCGATGCTGAGTGTTGCTCAAGGGCCAGCACTAACTAATGTTTCTAAACATTCCCCTGAACAAAAGTGCGTAGAAGTTCTCCAAAAGGTCAGTAGTATAGCAAGATTTGTCTGTTTATTCAACTGTGGAGAGACTCTGCCTGCATGGAGAGGTCAGCTGTTCCCTATCAGGACAGATGGGTGCAAGGGAAAGGCCAGGGCCAGAGACGGGCTAGGACAAGCCATTCTGCCTGGCCTCCAGTTCTAAAGTCATCTCACTTCTGCTGAGGTCTGCATCCTTGGCCACATAAATCGGGAAGTTTCACCCGGTCTGTATATATTTTTTCTCTTCCTGCCCACTCACAACTTAACTGGGATGCTGTGAAAGCATAGTCCAGTGAGATCCGTGTGCATTAATTAATTGTAAAATGAACATGTTTTCAAAAGTGTTTGCAACTTGATGGAACTATAGCATTCTCATTTATTTTCTATCTTCTGCAATAATTAGTTCTTATTCTTTTAATGAAGTGCGCTGTATCATGATAACTAAGTCATTAATTCTTAACTAAGTTACTTTTATGTCCAGAAAGCAATATCGTTTTAAATTATGATTGTTCTTTCATGAGCAATTGCTATTTCTAAATAAACTATTTAAATAGGCATTCATAACCTGTTTACCACCATGTCTTAACCTACTACCCTGGGACTATGGGAAATATCTTAACTGTCTCTGGGCCCAATGATTTTTGCAGGCTCTAAAGACAAATTCACTCTTCACCTCTTAAAGTGGTTGCAATGAAAATACTCTCCTGGTCATGGTTGTCACTCTTGGTCTGCTTCACACTCTTCATATTGAAGCTGTAAACTTCAAGGAGACATTTTTACTCTAAAATATGAGATCCGTAAATATCAGTTTTATAGTAAACAATGATTCTATGAAATACACAACCTTTGATGTTGCACTGTATTGATTCTTCTTACTAAAGTGCTTAAAAAGATTTTTTTCTGATTTCCTGCAGATGCATATACAACCTCAGAGGTCACTTATATTTGGACTTACAATGCATCTGATTCAGTGCAAGTTGCTCCCGATGGCTCTAGATTAAATCAATATGATCTGCTGGGCCAATCCATTGGGAAGGAGACAATTAAATCCAGTACAGGTTAGTAAAATAAAGAAAAGCTAATTCCTAAGAAAATTAATGGGTTCAAGTCATTGGAGATGTCAGTTTTCTAAAAACCTCTTGTTCTTGGGGTCCAAGAACTAGCAGCATAGCCTGTGCTTGGGAACTTTTTAGAAATTCAGAGTCTCAAGCCTGACTCCTTACTAAGTCAGGATCTGCATTTTAACAGGATTTCAAGGAGACCCCAAGGTGTGCATTAAAGTTTGAGAAACACTGGCGTAAAATATGCTACATATTCAAAGCGTGTGTGTCTTCTCAGATAAGCCAGTTACTTTCAAACAGGCTTATAATTTTCCTAGTTTTCTAATTATTTTCCCCCTAAAGCTGACACTCTTTCTAAGGGCCACACTCATCTAAGGAAAAGCAGCTGTGTGGACTAATGATCGTACATCTGGCAGATGTAAACCCAGAGAGCAGAAAGGAAAGGAGCTCTGAGGATAGAATAGAGCTGACTGAAGTGAATTAGAGCGGACATACAGCATTGAGAAATTCAGAATTGGTAACAGTTCTGGGGTTATAAGTAGAAAATCTGGGCCAGCAGATGAGACTTGGAGATATGGCCAGAAATCCACACTTTAAAGAGCCAGAGAGAACTGGACTGAGTTGGAACAGAGGCTTGAGGTTAGTACCAGTGGAGATGAGGGACCAGAGTTAGTAAGATAATTTATGGCAGAGAGCATTTATGAATTCTGTACCCACTTGGTCAATAAGCATGACCTAGAGAGAAAAATGAATACCATACCATGGGACATGCAGTACAAGTTTCTTGGTAATATTAAAATTCTCTTTTAAATACTTGTGCTATGCTAAGCAGGCATTTAAAGGTTATTTACTTTTCATAGCATATCATGTGATAAGTTCTTTTTTTATAATCATGGACTGTTCTTTCTCTAATCCCTTCCATTTCCAAAATGTTCAAACTATTGACTATTACAGTTCCTTAAGCTGTTTAAATTTTTCTTCCAGGTGAATATACTGTAATGACAGCTCATTTCCACTTGAAAAGAAAAATTGGGTATTTTGTGATTCAGACCTATCTGCCTTGCATCATGACTGTCATTCTCTCCCAAGTGTCATTCTGGCTTAACAGAGAATCTGTGCCTGCAAGAACGGTGTTTGGTGAGTGACTAACTACACACTTGGTTGTACAGCACGTTATCTTTTGTAGCCTGCTTTCAAAAGCATTCTCTCTCTCAGTACTCACATCAGTAATTTGTAGGATGTGGGGTAGGGAGTATTGTTTCACCTTCTAGACGAGGAAACTGTGGCTCGGAGAGTAAAATACAGAGTCACTGCCACACTGTTAATAAGGGATATTAACAGTACTCAGATCTTCTGGAAATACGTTGTATTCTTTCTCTTAAATAATTTTGCTTCTCAACATTTGTCTCCGGTATAAGGAAAATACTCTTAGAGGTTTTCATTTAGAGTATAACAATACCATATTTCTAAGCTTTCCATATTTGTTTTTGTTGTTTTTAGATAGACAAAGATGATCTTAATAGTTTAAGTTAGAGAGAGAAAGAAAGAGAAGGAAAGAGAGAGAGACCCCTTCATTCACTATGATTAGTGTGTTTATTAACAAAGTTAATTTTCTTGATTTACACTACGCAGGGGAATTTGGTTACTGCTCTTTGAATGTATGAACTAGGCTGAGCACACTTTGTGACGAGGTAGATTACCTTTGCATATTTAGTACACTCATTCATTTAGAAAACTTATTGAGAATCTACTCTGTCACATACTGCACCAGGTCGTAGAGATGCAAATACATATAAAATATAGTCCTTACATTCTACTAGCTCAGTATAGTGGAGGGCAACAGAATAAGCAGAAAAGATAATGGCAACGCGAGATGAAGGCATTATAAAAGAGCTATATACATGTTGTTCTAGAAAACAGCAACGTGGATCCTCTCTAAGAGAACTGAGTAAGTAGCTGAGTTAACATCTGAGCTAAACTTTGAAGGATGAATAGGAGTTTCTCAGTCAGAAGAGATGGAGCAAGATCCTAGACAAAAAGAATAGATTTTGCAATGACATCGAGGGATGAAAGAACATAGTGTGTTTACTGACAGTGAACTGTTTCAAGGTCAGTGTAGATGCAGATAGAATTATAGTTTGACGCTTAGATGAAAAGGACCTGGTAGACCATGTTAATGCAATGTACCTTTATCTTGCTTTATCTTGCTAGGCTATAGCAAGCCACTATAGTGTTGTGAGGTCATAGACGTGTGTAAAACTCTCAGAGCAAGCCTGGTATTTAATATGTGCTGTCTAGCTGTTAGCTATTTTTATTATTAATATGATCCTATTTGTACTTCAGAAAGATATGCCATCTTTGTGGAAGATGAATTGGAAAGTGGAAATAACCAGAGGCAGGAAGAAAAGTTAGGAGGCTACTGAAATAGTCCAGATGAGATATGATTAGATCATTCCAAAATAAGGCAGTAGAAATAAAGGAAAAAGACACAGGGTCAAAGGATGTTTGAGAGATAAAACCAATGGACTTGGTGAACATATATAGTGAGTAGACATAAAAGAATAATTTAGGATAATGTTTTTGTTTTTCTGCTTCAATACTTTAAGTAGATAGTGTTGCCATTAATAGAAGCAAGGAGAAGGGAGAGGAAAAGTAGGAAAAGGTAATGTAGTTTAAGTTATGTGGATTTGGAAGTTCCTTGTGATATCAATTTGATGTTTAGTAGACCAGTAGAAATTAGTGTATGGAGCATAGATGAATTAGGGAATGTCATATAAATATGAGAATCATTAGCTGAAAGTTAATAAAACTTACAAATCTAGAGCTTATCTCCTAGATAAATTAGGTGACTCAATAAGTGAACAGAGGACAGAATCCTTAAAAATGTTAAAATTGTAGGATTTAAGAGATAAAAAGGAATTAATTGAAATACTCAGAGAATTAGGAAGGAAACTAGTAGAGAACAATATAGTAAAAGGAAAAGAGGAGAATTTCAAAATATATCATACAGACACACAGTCACGCACACATACACAGCCATTTTGGATCTTCACTGTCAAATATGCACAGATAACTCTAAAATGCGTTGAGTGAAGTTGACTAGAAGAAGGTCGCTGACACTAATGAATCCAATGAGAACAGTTGCTTTGGAGTAAAGTCAGATTAAAACGGGAATAAGAGGTAAGAAAGAGGAAGAGCTGGTGTAGAACAAATTTTGAAGGAGAGAGAGAGAAAGATTAAGGTAGCTAGAGAGAGAAGTGAGTCGTTATTATTATTAATATATTATTATTAGCTTGGAAATTTGAACAACAGGGGCAATGACTTTATGTCAAGTGACATACTAAACATGTCACTACTTCTTTACTTCTTATTATATCCATGAAGTAGATTATAATATCCCTCCTTTAAACAGAAGACTCATGGAGACTCTAAAATTTTATCTTGTCCAAGCTCTTGACCTTACTCCAGAGCCTAAGTTCTTTCAACTACACTATGCTGCCTTCATGTTTCTCTTTTAAGTGGAAGAGTTCAAGAAAGAAAAAGGATACTTAAGATATAGAAGAGGGAGAGATTTCTGAAGTATTCTAAAGAAAATACTTGGAATGGAGTTGGGTTCACCAGTAGAAAGAAAGAATCCTGCCTCTCCAACATAGAATGGAAGGAACTCAAAATGGGCTTTGTTGGTGCTTTCCTCTTTCCAAATCATCACGTGACTATTTAACAAACACATAAAAAATTTCTTTATCTTGGAAAAAAGGCCTTTTATTATTACAATATTGGAGGAACAAGTTTGCTTAGAGGCTTAAGTCACTAATTATAAGTATGATATAGACTGTAAATAACATCAAGAAATACTATAATAAGTTAAAATTACAACGAAATTGTGTAAGATAGATAACAGAACCTTTTTGCAGTTGAGATTTGATGGGGAGTTTTAGAAATCTCTAAACAAACACGTTATGCATTAGGGATAGGAAATGGAAGGAAAGAATGGAGAAGAGAATAGAAAGAGCATTTTTTCTTTTAAAATGTATGTACACGTATAGAAAAGTTAAAAATATATACATTTAGGAACAAAATTTAAATTTTACACTTTATGCTAGAGTTTTATTAATTTGGGTTAATCGTATGACTGCAGTGGCTGGCTTGAAATTTATCGGGATATGTCTGTAAAATCAAGTTTAATTAAACATTGTTAACATTTGTTTGTTATGACAATATCATCCATGTTTTCTTTGCACTAATATCACATATTTATGATCTATTTATTCTATTTCATTGCAGAACAATTGAAATAGTTTACAGAGTACTGTATAATTTGGTTATTTTCCAAATACAAGCATTATTCAATTATTTTTTGTCCTCAGTGAATAAGCAGTTGATGCTTTCATAAGCCACAATTGAATTATGTAGAAAAATACAATACTTATAGTTCATAATCCTTTAAGAATTGTGCATTTACAAAATAATAAAATGAAACTATATCTAACAATTAAATTTAGGTCTACATTAGGATATTATAGAGAATTCCAAGAGACTCTTCAATTCAAATTGATAGATAATTTTCAATATGAAGTACATGATATATTAATGCATTAATATATTTACTTGTTAATGCACTAAATAGTTCAAAAAAGACTTTCCTTCCATCCTTCTTCTATGGTGCTTGGTAAATGTCCGCATCTGCCAATTATTACATTTCATTACAGATATTTGGTTTACATGCATGTCTCAGTCTTCAGACAGAGAGTTTCTACACACAGCTATTAGCATAGAGCTTGGCACATGGTAGGTGCTATAAATATATGATGAATGAAAGACAAATAACTGGGTGGAGGGATAATAAAGTGATCCATAAAAATGAGCATTCTTCCATATTAAACTCACTGAAGAAACAATATTAAAAAATAAGAATATGTTCAATTCTAAGCAACAATAAATGTTTTTTCAATATTGTGGGTACAACCAACAAAACAAACAAAGCACACATATACTCCTGCACATACAGAACTACAAAAATTTAATCTGTAAGAGAAACGTATATTGAGAGAATTAAAAAAACATGTGGGAATGTGAACAAAGAGATGAGCACAATTACAGAGAACCATCTAGGAATAATGAAAGTACCAAACAAGAAAACCTGCAGAAGTGGTAATGAAAGAAACAGGTACAACCCGGCAACAGCAAATATACATTCTTCTGAAGTGCATGAGGAACATTCTCCAGAATAGATCACATGTTGCATTGTAAAACAATTCTCGATAAATTTTAAAAGGCTGAAATAATACAGTTTCTTCTCTGAACACATTGAAATGAAGCTAGAAATCAAAAACAGAATGAAACTAGAAAAGTCACTACTATGTGGAAATCAAACAATACACTCTGATCCAATGCATCAAAGAATAAATCACTAGTGAAATCAGAAAATACTTTGAGATAAATAAAAATGAAAACACAACATACCAAAACATATGGGATGCGGTGAAATCGGCATTCAGAGGGAAATTTATAGTTATAAATGCCTACGTTAAAAAAGAAAGAAAATCTCAAATCAATAATCTACCTTTATACTTTTAAGGGATAGAAAAAGAAGAGAAAATGAAGGCCAAAGCCAGTAGAGGGAAGGAAAACGTAAAGATTAAAGCAGAGATAAAGGAAATAAAGAATAGAAAATAGAATCAACAAAACCGATGTTGGTTCTTTGATAGATTAACAAAACTGATAAGCCTTCAGCTAGACTAAGAAAAACAGAGATAATTCAAAAACTAAAATCAGAAATGACAGTGAACACATTACTACCAATCGTAGAGTAATTAAAAGGATAAGAGAATAAGATGACAATTGTACACCAATAAATTAGATAATCTGCATGAAATGGACAAATTCCTAGAAATGCACAAATTAACAAACCTGACTCAAAAAGAAACAGAAAATCTCAACAGATCTACAACAAGCAAAGAAATTCAGTCAGTATTCAGAAGCCCCCAACAAAGAAAAGTGTTGTACCAGATGGCTTTACTGGTGAATTCTACCAAACATTTGTAGAAGAATTAATACCAAACCTCTTCAAATTCTTACAAAAAAATGGAAGATGAAAGAACACTTCCTAACATTCTACATGTCCAGCATTACCCTGA